AATAATTTTTCTTATTAATGTATGAATCAAGCTTTTCTTTAGTTTCAACATCAATGATTCACTGCAATAACATAACATTACACATTAAAAGAAATTCTGGTTCCATAGCAGACAAAAGCAAAAGCGCCAAAATCTTGCAGTTTCCGAAAAGAGAGAGAGAGAGAGAGAGACCCCAAAATCCTGACAACGTATTCACATTACACAAATGAGATTACTGTCTTTTCTTCCTTTACAACCACACCATTGAAACAAGCAACGCCAAAATTTGCCAAAAATATGATCTAGTTTTTCGCTTAATCTGCATAAAAATCATCCAATGACCCCAAAAAATTATGCAGGAACAAGCATTTTTAAATATGTAACATTGAAAGTTCCTAGGAATTCTGAAATGGGTTGGTGAGTGGATTACAATCTGGAATAAGAATCTAGTCAGCTTTCTTACCAAAGGCTGAAAACATAAAAAGAATTCACATACAAAAAGACCATAAATTATATAATAGGAGGAGAGGGACTACAAGGAGAAGAAACATGAGCACATGAGAGAGAGAGCTGTAAAGGCCACAACTGCAAATTGAAGAGCACTCATTGATGCTGTTCTTGGTGAATCTCCCATGGCCAAACCAGCTAAATATGTCCCATCTGCCAACACGCTGCTTCCTCCGGATCCTGTCCCAGCACCAGACCCCGGATACCCAGATCCAGTTCCGGCACCAGACCCCGGATACCCAGATCCAGTTCCGGCACCAGAACCTGGAGTATACCCTGATCCATATCCATTACCCGAATACTCTATCCCGGATCCTGAACCTTGTTGTTGCTGCTGCTGTGATGATGATCCTGTCGTTGGTGTTGCATAACTTGAAGATTTCTGACTGCAGAAGACATTAAAAACAAATAATAAATTAATCTTTCAGGATACACTAATTTCTGGTGTCAGATTCTTTGGTGAAAAATAAGAATGAATCACAATGATGGCATTAAAAGCAACCCATCAACCTCCATTAATCAACCAAAATGAAATCATAATAAAGATAATCTTTGGCATTTCCAGTTGGCCACCATTAATTATCACCAAAACCCACATAATGACATAATACAAAAGCAAACAAACAAAAGAACAACATCATTAGTAATAAATACAGTTAAAGTGCATTAAGAGGGAGATTAATAAATTAATGACGGATTAAAAAATAGTATGTGTGACTAATTAAGTGGCGGACAGGAAATGCATACCTAGGAGAAGAAGACGGGCAAAACGTCACAGTATAGTCAGCTCCACTGCATGTGAACGTACTTGTGGCATCGTCGTACGCATAGCTGTAAGATTTCGGACAAGCGGACTTGAACATCTCCGAGTATACCGACGGTTTGCAGCTGGCGGGAGTGTTAAACGCGCCACTGCAACAATACTCAGGACTCCCAAACGCCTCACACGCGCTCTTGCAGGCGTCCCCCTCACCGACCCTCAATTCCGCCGGACATTGCTGGTTCAAGTCCGTGGAGCAACCCGTCGAAGCGCACAGACCCGCCCCGCCCGACGTCTCCACAAGCATGGGCAAGTTGTACCCATCGACAAGGCTGACGTCATAAAAATCCTGCCCACCCGTCCCCAGAGTGAACTCCGCTAGAGTGGCGGGAGGGGCGGCTCCAAGCCCGTTACACTCAACTTGACCGGACCCACAGTCTCCGGTAGAACAAGAGCCGGCTCCGGATCCGTCAAAGTTACAGCCGGTTCGAGCCCAGAAGCGGCCCGACCAGCCCGTGGGGGCAAGAAAAGAGCGGGAAGCATCTTTGAGGAGCTCGAATCCTGTGCTGTCGAGTCTAGGACTGCCTGCATTAGCGAGAATGCCGGGCCAAATAGTGTAGTCGCATCTGTTGACGAATGTGAAGGTGGCAGCTGAAACACATGAGAGAATGAAGCAAAAACAGGTTAGTAAAGTTGGCATTTTGTGAAAAAAAACGAGAACAAGTTTTTTTTTTTTTAATAGTTTTTTAACCTTGAGAAGTTGTAAAAAGAAGAATGAGAGCTAAAGCGGGAGGGAAGAGATCCATGAGAAGGTAAGTGGAGAAGACAATGCAGGGGTTTTGGGAAGAGGGAGGTGTGAGTGAGTGAGAGAGATGAAGGGAAAAGGGTTTTTTTGGGAGGCGATGAATGGAGAGTGGGGGGAGTGAGTGTGATGTGAGTGAGCAGAGACGACTGAGGGTGACGGAGAAGTCCAAAATTGGTGCAAAAAATAAATAGTTTTGTTCAGTGTTGTTTGTCTTATCTCTCTCTCATGTCAATTCACAATTGCAATTTATTTATTATTGGTGGGACCAAATGTTACAAATAGCAAACCTCAGGAACTAAAATTATCTCATAAGTTGATGGGGCATTTAAAACTCTCAAATTTATCAAATTTTTATTAATAAAATTTATTTTTATTTTGTTTTTTGTTATGCTAGTCCAAATACAATATATAATAACTCTTATTAATTATAAAATGTATAATAAGTGATATGATTATATAGGGTGTTTTTGCTATTTTAAAATTATTGGATTTTTTTGTTTGAAGCTTCGATTAGGGATTTGAGGGAATTATATTGTGATTATCGTGTTAATTAATTATAGATGTAAACGTTAGAAACAGCATGTCATGTTTTTGCAAAAATAATCATTAATCAACGTACAAGTTTGCCAATTGCAAACCCATCCTCACCATAGGAAGACAGCTATGTTCTGGTACGTGAATCCCCATGTTATAAACAGTATCACCCACCGTGATTTTCTCAACGATCAAGTCAAAAAAAGAGACGGAACTTTGGGAAAAAGATGGCCCACCATACACCTTTTATGGATGGTGTCACGTCATCACCCATACATACTACATGGGGAAGGTGCTGATACTTTCCATGTCACTTTATAAGGCTGAGATGGCTACCTTTCTATTGGTTGTCATTACCACGTCAGATAAACGGAACCGTTTTTAGCAAATACACGTGGCGTAAGGTTTAGGGCAATAATGGGAAAACCTAAGGCATTGGATTCCAAAATTCTCTTCTTTTAGTTTCATTGATATGCAGTAAGTATCATCTCTTTAGAGCAAAACTTTCACTATTAATTTAATCAATTTATTATTAATTAGGAAGTCTGGGATTTTTTTTTTTTTTGAAAGCATTCGAATTAGTTTATCGTATTGCAGAATTTTCAGAGCTTAAGATAATAATCAAGCAAACCTTTAGTTATCAAAGTAGTGAACTCAAGATATTTGATAATACATTCATAGTCTTAGTTGACTGCTCTACCTGTGGTGATTGAATGAGGCATGGCCAATTTAGAGATAATTCAACCATTGGCGTGTGATCGGATGTAACCTTAGATATCCATAAGTTTTGTGTTGAGTCCATCAAAATACCACCTACACATATTTTGATTTATTTGACCATTAGGTTTGCATGTATTAAATAGATTCGGAATTAGTTGAGGTCGACCCGAACACTCCTAAAAAGAGAGAGAAGACCATCAACATACATTATTATTAATACAAAAAGTGAATTGATCTTAAGAGCAACTAAAAAAAAATTCAATTAAAAAGGTGATGAAAAATTGCACTTTTTGCTTTCGTTTTTTTTTTTTTTTTTTTAACTTCGTTGTAAAAGATAAATAATGGGGTCATATATTGATCAAACATAAAAGTAACTTTGCACCATAATTGTTCTTTGTTTAGACATTATCAGAATGGTAGTGGCCCTAGCTCCACGTGACCATAACTAAATTATTATAATTGACGAGACAGATTCTGTCACAATTAAATTTCACATACACCAAAATTGGTTCTAGTTGTTTGTACCTCACAAATTTGGTGATGTAATCTCACTTTTATGATTCGAGAATGTCTATATAAGTTTTGAAAACACATCATCATCCAGATTTATGTTTTAAGGACTTTGAAGTAAAGAGAGTAAGAAAGACTCTCGCCAGTGATTTAGGGTCTCGAGAGATTAGTTGAGATATGCGTAAGTTGGTCCAATACTTCTAATCATAAAAAAATAAAATAAAAGACTTTAAATGATGATGTATTTATGGTTGATATTAAAATTACGTAATTAAATAGACACCATCATATAAGATGGACGGTATCCATTATTTTTCTTTTAAATTTTTTTGCGATGGACGGTCCATAGTAAATGGACACTCGTCCATATAATATGAACGAGAGTCTATGAAATATAGGCGGACGTCCATAATATTGGACGACCGTTTAGTACGAAACTCCAACGTGGGTCGTGTTGACTAATTGTCAATCCTTCGTACAAAAATTGTGTCTGTAGCATGACTCTTAATTATCATGCATGCAACAATGTAAAGAACACAGGTTCTTCATGTGGAGAATCTAACCTCCACAATATGAACGCTATAGCTTGAAAGAAACAGACAACAGAAATCAGAAATAATTCGTCTGCTTGTATCTCCAAATGGGGCCATCAATCGAAGCTATCGTTTTCTCCTGGACTTATAATGGAATCGAATTGTGTTGGTTGGTTTGAATCAAACAGATCACTGTAATTAATTGTCACATGCACACACAAAGTATACTAATCTCTCATGGACTAACCCACATGCTTATTCAATTCATTGGGTCCAAATCTTTTCAGGATACAACTTACAAGAATAATAAGGTTTGAATTTTGACGAACATTCCAAATTGCCAGTTCATCTTACAAATCCGTGAGAAATTTCTAACTTATACAGGGACATCATTTCTGACGTTAATGGAAACTCGTCAGAAGGACTGGGTGTGGGTTCGTCCGATATTGGAGAAGAGCCGCAAAGACAAAAAGGACAAGAAGGGATCTATTTGCGGTGGAAAAGTGGGTGAGAAATGTGGATGGTTTGGTTCAATCAATAATTGTTTTACTTTAATGACTTTTTAAGAGGAGTAAAGTGATTAAACAATGTTTAAATGCTTCTTTTGTGTATTTATTGTATCTTTCTTTGACAAAATGCAAATCCAGGATCAGTTGCATTAGGAACATCTTGAAGAATTTGATTTATATCTTCTTCTGTTGGATTCTTTTCCATATATGTACTTGGCTACAGAATACATTATTGAAGAAGAAAGGTTCTGATTCCCTTTCTCGATGCAAGTTAGCCTAAAAATTTATTTTATTGATAAGATTTCAACCTCTTAAAAGAGGTACAGAGGAGTAATGAGGATCCATTATTAGAAGAGTCAATCCTTTCATTGAGTTATGTGTTGAGCCAATTTAAGCCATTTATGTGAGAACCCATGTGGGAGATCCTTCACTTAAAAGCTCTACTCTAATGTAAACAGGCAGATGATGAATGCCTTCTGGTAATGGATTATATTGAGAACCTAATACCTATGTCTAAATCCCATTTTGATAAAGATTAAAATGAAATAAATTGTGCAATCTAACTATCATGAGTTGGGTGGTACAGAAGGAATCAAAGAGTTAAGGTAGCAGGGTCCAGGTGATGTGGTCAGGTGTGTTTAAATGTCAACCAAATAAATATTATGTTTACTCCATCAAGATCTGCCCCATGGGCCAAGAAAGCCATTGGATGAGTCCTTGCGTGCTAAAAATCAACCCTGTCACTTACAATTTACACTTCTCGCCTACATTCCGGATGATCCAAAACATTAATATAGATAACAAATGGGATTTCTAGGGGTTAACATCCAAGCTTCAATTACTATTGGAGGGGATTCAATACAAGACTCTTGAAAATTTGCTAAGTTGACATAAAACAACTCAACCACAACAGATCAGGACATTTTTGAAAGGGAAAAGACAATTCTCGATGTCTGGAATACCATCTCGGCATAAGCTGATATCAATGAACAACCATTAACCTCCATCTCCTTAATACCTCCATGGCTTCTTTAGGTGCCTAGACTTCCGTAAACATCCAACAAGGCATTATATAAGTAACCTTACTGGACTAAAACACGCTAATTTCATTTCCTCAAAAACCCAAGCTCTTCTTCATGCAAATATCCGCCGACAACAACTTATAAGCGTATTATAAGAATTGGGGCAACTCCGGCATTCTTCATTCCCTCTACCAGAGTCATAATCTTATTCCAGGGCATACCCATTTTCCATACACATTCAGAATCATATTGTAAGTTATCAAAGTAGGTTTACAACACTCCTCCTCCATTTCTTGAACAATCATCACAGCCTCCCTATACCTCCCATTGCTAGCATAAGCAATATCAATGAAGTAAAGCATAAACATCAAATCATTCCCATCTTATGCAAACTATTCAACAACGAAGCCGCAGCCGAAATTAACATACTAATATATTACAGCTAAACTACCATTCAAGATGACCAACTCACAATCTTTACAACTCCTAAACCACTCAAACACACTCAATGCCAAGTCACATTTCTTGTAAAACCCTAAACCCTTAACAATACCCAACATATAAAAACTCAAAGCATCAATCTTTACATCTGGGTTTTCCCGATAAGACTCAAATAATTGTAACAAAACACTAACAATATCTTTAATTGATGAATCTTTAACATCAAAAGTTCATCAATTAAAGATATTGATAGTGTTTTGTTACAGTTATTTGAGTCTTATCGGGAAAACCCAGCTGTAAAGATTGATGCTTTGAGTTTTGATATGTTGGGTATTGTGTAAAATTCAGCGTAAATCATTGGAAATACTATATTGATCAAGGAGCTCAATATATCTGAACGAGAAAAACGTAAGAATACAAAGAAAGGCATGTACAAGATCTTCCATAGAATTTCGAAGTCCCACCAGCGATGACTTATCTGAACTTCGACCTCTTCCATGAACAATATCTATATGAGGGCTAACCACTGGCGCAGCAATAATGAAGATGGCACCTTCTGAAGCTGGAATTTATGATACTATCTGCCTGGAGATATCCAGGCCAAGCTAATGTTAGTCATAAAGGCAATATAATCGGCCAAAAGAGCAAAAGAGCCGATAGAATAGAGGCAGCACAGGCAGTAAAATGCCTTTGGACCAGACCTGAGGACAAAGCACCGCTTGAATGATCTGTTGCAATGTACATTGTAGTCTTGTTCACAAGTGGTAACGGTGCACCATCTTTTCGCGCTCCCACCAATTTTTGACTGCATATTTTTCATACAAGAGACAGTTCATTGTTTATAGGACAATCTTAGTGCATAATTAAAGAAAATAATACACACACTACTTGAAGCAAACAACACAACCAAAACACCATTATCATTATGCATTGAACCTCTTCAGAAAAAAAGGTCAGTGAAAGAGAAGGAAAATAAGACTGTTTGTAACTAGTGTCCAATCTTTCTCTAGCTATACATTAGCCCTTCCAAAACCTGGAATTAGTTTCCTACTCTGCTATTAGCAGATAAGTCACGGACACCAAAACAAAATGATTAACTGAAATTTTATTTCTATCAAGAAACATAATCAAATTTTTGTCATGTAAGCATCACTTCTATGAATGAGCAATGAACAGCTTATTCTACCATCATGCAATAGTAAGCATAAATACTTGCATTCAGTCTTCAGTTTTGTTGAAGTGCTTATAAGTATCCATATCTTTAGCAGATAACGATTCTAATAAGATTAGAGTCCAGCTTCTAATTGTCAACTGACTAGAGTATGCACAGAAAAAACAAGCATGCATACGATCAGATAAACAGACAAACATCCTCATGGTTAAAATAACATTCTTATGAATTGATCTTTCTAGCAAGTTAAACATCTTGATTAAGTACAATGGATAAAATAAGGAAGGACACAACAGGATATCAAAGGAGAACCTGCATTTCGTTTTCAGATCACAATCTGTCATTACATACCGAACTAATAGTAGTGCATCAGGGGCTAGGTAAACTAATCTTTACTGGTATCATGCATGTAATATTACTGTAGAATTTTAGTGCCTCATATGGATGTGATCGGCCACAGTTTTTAGATAATCCAACTCATATATGCGAATCATATAAGACACACCGCAAAACCCACTGACAACCTATAACTAGTACTGATTCTTCCACAATTATGCCATTATAACAAAAATACTCGCTTAACATGAAGCCAACTAGTTCTGCGGTGATGCACAGGGTAAAACAATGTCAAAACCACAATCCCCACATCGATAGCCTCCTACCTTCAAGAACCATACACCCAGCACTTCAGAGCAAAAATGCCCAGATCAAGTTTTTAGTGCAAGATCATCTTTTAGTTCTCTAAACTATAGGAACAACCATTCAGCTAGCACAACAACCACTAGTCAATCTAATCCACATTTCTTCTACAAATTGACAACCTGACTAATAACTTTTAAGAACTTTCTCACAGTTTAGCTACATAAAAGAGTGGAGCCCATAAGGGTGCACAATCCATTTACCAAAATAGCAAAAATGGCTATGCTTGGCGACACTTCACCTTTGTTATAAAAAAAACTAATTTTTTAAATCAATTATACAGTGAAACTAGCCGTCCGGACCAACTTACAGGCACATTAATCTTCAAGAAGAGTTATCCCACAACAACCCACCCACCGTATAACTCTCAAGCAAATCATGGACAAAGTATTACCTATGCACCTAATGGGAACGAACCTGGGACTGCAAATTCTACCCATTTGCAGCCCCCTAGGTTCGTCCTTACTGCCGGGCTACCATAGGTGGGTAGGTTTTGACAATATTGCGTATCTAAACAAAAACACTTTATCAAGTAAAAATGTAACACATTAATCCAAAAAAGGTGCTTCTCAATTCATCGATAACTCACTTTCCAAACCAACCCACAGCTCTATTATTAGTTTAATTTAATTGCCCATTCCATCCGTCAAAGCTGGCGAAATTTCTGGAAGGTGCCAACGTGGCCAATAATGCAAAAAATGTAAAATGACCAAACTACAATAGCATATTCATAAGGCATTAAAGCAATAATCGCAAGATCCCACAAAGCAAAAATAGTAAATTCACCTGGTGTAAGGTGGCGGGCAAAATATGATAACGTAGTCGGCGGACGCGCACGTGTACGTGCTCGTCTTATCATCGTAAGCAAAACTATACGCGCGTGGGCAAGCGTGTTTGAAAAAGAGAGAATACACTGAAGGACCACACGTGTCAGGCGTAGCGTACGCCTCGCTACAACAATACCTAGGATCACCAAAAGCCTCACACGCGCTCTTACAAGCTACACTTGGCCCGTGTGTCCCACGCGCAACTCTCAAATCCGCTGGACACGCACCGTTGAGATCAACTAAACACCCAGTAGCACTACAGCCGCCGCCAGAACCGCCCTTGGGCAAGATTAGCATAGGGAGGTTATAGCCATCAACCAAACTTACGTCGTAAAAGTCTAGCCCACCGGCGCCGTTGAGGGTGAATTCCGCAAGGGTAGTGGGTGGGGCGGCTCCTCCGCCAGCGCATTCGACCTTACCGGAGCCACAGTCTCCGGTAACGCAAGAGAATGTTTGGTTGCTGTGATGGGCACAGAGGGTTCGAGCCCAGAGCCGGCCCGACCAAGACTTGGGGATTGTTAAAGTCCTCGACTTGCCGGTCCTGAGCTCGAAGCCAGTGGAGGAGAGCGGCGGAGAGTTGGCGCCGGAGAGAAAACCGGGCCAGATGGTGCGGCGGCACCTGTTGATGAGCTTGAAAGAAGCCGAGTGGGCTTCTGCATGGACAAAAATGAAAAGACTTAAATATGATCAGCCGCAAATGAATATTCAAAAAAAAAAAAAATTCCAAAGAAGTGATCGTTTGTTACCTGGAGGGAGAGTGAGGGAGAGGAGAGAGATGAAGGTGGCGGAGATGAGGAGGCGATGATCCATTGCTACTTATTTATTAATAGTGTTTTGGGGTTAAGGTNGAGTTGGCGCCGGAGAGAAAACCGGGCCAGATGGTGCGGCGGCACCTGTTGATGAGCTTGAAAGAAGCCGAGTGGGCTTCTGCATGGACAAAAATGAAAAGACTTAAATATGATCAGCCGCAAATGAATATTCAAAAAAAAAAAAAATTCCAAAGAAGTGATCGTTTGTTACCTGGAGGGAGAGTGAGGGAGAGGAGAGAGATGAAGGTGGCGGAGATGAGGAGGCGATGATCCATTGCTACTTATTTATTAATAGTGTTTTGGGGTTAAAGATGAAGAATTGATTATTAGAGAATGTTAAAGATTGAATAAAAGAAGAAGCTTTTGGCTTTTGGCTTCTGGTTCTCGTTTGTTGTCTTCATTTGCTAAAGAATTTTACTTTTCTTGTTGAGAGAAGAGGAGGGTCAGGACTCAAGAGTGTACGTGTGTGGCTTTCAGGGGCTTGTTAGTCATTTTCTCATTGTTTTCCCTCCTTTTTTTATTTTTTATCTTTTGTAAAGCGAATTTTGATAATTACTTTTGTATTGAAAACATGAATAATATAAGAGTTTTAAGTCTAACAATAAGCTTAGTAATATTATTTGATAATTAATCATTTTCTAATCTAATAATACATTAATGAAGTAACAGTAAAAGTCAAAACTAAGAACTGTGCAATATATCCCTGTGATTTTTGCAAGATTCCCAGATTATCCCACAACAGATTTTGCAGGAAAAAACAACCAGAAACCAATCTTAAATTACAGGTGGCACAGGCCCATTGGATTCTTGAATCTTACTCATCAGTATGTAGAAGCCTCTGAGAATAAGAGGTTCCTGGATTACCCACAAATCAAGGTAGGTATTTAAGATAATAATCAAGTTTAAAATGCGTAAGCAAAAGCAGATTCTGATATGATTTTGAGGCAACATTAGTAGCACTGACAGAATTCCAGTGATTTAAGCTATCAAATAAAAGTAAATTCAAGAGTTTCAACAGAGGGAACAGTGGCTAATTTGACTTAAAAAATGGGATACACAATCTTACTCACGATGAACAAATTAAACTTTCAAAGGTATACATGAAAGAACAAACTGGAATTAACTACAATAATACAACACTCCTGTATAAAAATGAATTCCCAGTTCCAAAAATATGTAAAGAGGGCTGAAGAGGGTGTGATCAATTATGTATATTTGATTACTGTGCTTGCCAGAGAGACCTCAACCAAATTAGCCGTCGAGGTCCTTTAATGGTCACGAATGCGATTGCATTCTTATCGTCTTTAAGAATATTCACAGCTTTTGCAAACTCAGTGTCATCCAACTCTTCCAATTTCTGCAAATCCTCCAGACACTTCTGATACAATGTTTTCTCATTCAATGAGTTCCTCTGTGCAGCTTTAAATGTGGCTGCTGAGAACATCTCATACAAGGCATTCTCTATCGTCTCACTTACGTTATAGTATGCTTTTTTCTTGCGACCGGATGCTGCTGGACCTACAGATTTCCGCTTCTTTGATAGTGTGTCATTTATCCGGATTATTGAATCAGAATCAACTGTGCCATCAACCATTTGTGTAGGTACATTAGTAGGTTCTGATGATCTTACCGTCTCTGTGTTACTATGTCCCTCTTCAGTCACCAAAGGTACTCCACTAGGAACATATTTACCAGTAGCTCTTTCTCCTGCAATGTAAGCATCTGATATTGCTCCAGGAAAGACAAAATTCAACTCAAATGTAATGAGAAATTTACAACAAAGATATATAGTGAAGTTTACCTTCAAATATGATGGACATTTGCTTATACAGGGGAAAACTTTTACGTCTGAAAGGTCTTGCTTCACTTCGCACCTACAACAATATGTCATCAGCTTTTTTGACTAAATTTTGAAACAATTTGTAAAGAATGCTCATAGTTCATACCGTAATATAGCTATCCCAAATTTTATCATCAGCAACAACCATTTGCCGAGTTTCATCCCAACCAAATCCAGTATGACCAAGTAGAGTTTTAACAACACCATAATCCTTCTTCATCACATTGTACCGGTTCTTTATCTGATTCTCTTCTAAATTCATGGTAAACTTCTTGTTGAAGTCACGCGTAACAGATTTGATCACTTCATTCTTAAATTCATTGTAGGCAGTTCTTCCACAATTATGTTGCTCAATGAAAAGCTCAACCAAATATGCATCGCGAGACGGTGTCCACTCTGCCTTGGGTCGACCTAGGATCCCATCTTGTGCAGCAGACATTCCGGCAAACGATTACTAAACAAGGGGAAAAAATTCAAATGCTCAGCAGTAGCATACTGTAAACATCCTTAATCAATCGACAAAAATAACACACACCACATTCTCACAAATTTGATTATATTCCACTGATGAGGCAATTGAATCGTCCCACGAATTATTGTCTCCAAAACAACCTCTATATACATAGAATCAAGCTAAAATGTTTTAATTTACGAAATATACTCAAAATATAATCATCAATATGATTAAATGATCAGCCACATGAATTTGTATAACCAGAAATCGCTAACTGTAGTTGTAAATGCCCTAGTTTTTTATGTTAAAATTCATTAATCCAAGTAATTAACAATGCATACTATAACTAAGTAATATTAAGTATATAAAAATTGAAAATTGAAAATATTTTTATCATTAAGCAACTGAAACGAGGCATAAAATTTATTATTTCTATACTGACAGTACCAGTACGGTACCTGACAGACCAATCAAAGATCCACGCCTAAAACTGTCATAAACTCCGGTGACCCGGAACAGCGGAGCCGTTGGGACTAACGTGCGCCGAGGTGGTAATGCCTGCGCAGATTTAAGGATAAGAATGGTGTCTTAATTCTTCTAAGAGGAGAGCGAGTAGAGAGCAAGTGAGTGAATGAAATGTTGCGCGGGAGAGCAACGTTATTATACATGGAATCGCTGTTGCTACCCAATCAACGGTTGCCACGTCACTTCTAATCACCCTGGATTTTACAAACAAACGAAAAAATCTACTGGCCAGTGACGTGTCCCAAGAGTAGACATTTTAAATTTGGGCCTGGCCCAACTCAACTCGGCTGGTTCAAGGTTGGGCCTTAAGGTGTAGCCCAATTAAATGGGCATTTCCACGGATTCTAAAAAAATTCCCTTAACATATCTTTATTACCTTTGAAAAAGCTGTAACGTTTCAGACTTAACTATCTCTTAAAAGGGGGGAATAAAATTTAACAATTCGAGCTCTTGAGTTCGATTCACCTCGATTGTTAATAGATGTAGTCATTGAAAGTTTACTCGGTCGTTAATTTTAGGATCCCAAAAGATTAATTGAGGTGTGCATAAATTAACTCAAATACCCCTGATTAACCAAAAATAAAAAATAAAAAATTACCCATTTAATTAACCAAAAAAAAAAGGGTTGATAAATGATATTTAATACTTTCTATATATTTTGGGATGAATTCAAAAAATGGTGTCATCCATAGGGTAATTCTTCTTTCTTGTCATTTCTATTGTCTACCTCTTTTTTTTTTTTCTTTCTTTCTTTTTTAATCTTTTACTGTGTGGCCAAGGGAATAAGGCCAGTTCAAATGCCAAGAAAGAGCAAATAAGACATATTGTAAAAAGCTTTATTGTGCTTTGCAGTGGCCAAATGAATTCCAGCTTTAGTGGTGAAACAAAATGGCATAAAAGTAGATTGACAAGAAATTATTTCCAGTATAGGATTCTTTTTGCTGCTAAATTTTGCTTCCAATTTGGAGGCCATAAAGAGAAATCTGCATCATGGTGTTTCTTCATAATTGGCTTTAAAATCAATTATATAGAGCACATTAAAATCCTTTTTGCTAATGGAGTTGACCACTCTTGAATCAATATCCAAATCTCAAGTCAATGTAGAGGTTTCAATCTCATCTCTCTGCCCACTTTTATCATTATCATGAGAAAATTCGACCCATTTGAACATCCGGGCCGATCTGGAATGGAATTGAAATTTTAGAACTGATTAATATGATGATGATGATGATAATAGTTTTTCAGAAAAGAGAACATAAAGCCGTTAAAGTTAGCGTTGGATGAATCGATATTGCTCTTACAATCTATGATGGGAAATTTCCAATAATTGTTTGAGAGGAAATTATTGTTCATCATATTATATTTGACATAGCGTGATGGATTACAGTTGCAGAGTGGATCCACCATTCTCAGCAGGCCTAAGTTTTCTTGCCGTGCTATAAAATTATTTGCTCGTTGTCTTTGTGTACATTTGTGGAGGATTGATTTTGTTTTTTTTAATATTTCTTAATCAACATTATCATAACTAATCCAATTAATGGTTCCCTATATTTGGAAGACATACGTTAGCAGAACCTGCATGCCATGTCTGGATTCATTTTCCCAACAATTCCAATGTTCTTCAAGAATTCTTCTGTTACCCATTACCATATTTAATCAGATGGGTTCTTTCTTAAAGAAATAAACAAGGTCAGAGAGAAGAGTTGGAACAACATGAACAGAGAAATATTGAATGTGTATAACATAATTACATGGAGAAATTTAATATGGGAACAGGGTAACTAAGTGTAAATTTTTATGATGAATGTCAGTCTTGAATTCATTGATGTTAATGGCTTCAAAACATGCGCAAAAAGGCTGCGTCAGGAATGGGTCAGAAAACCCTCATTCATTCATATACTTCAATTATACAACAGATTAAGAATTTTCTTCTGAATGAAACAAAACACGCCATTAAGGTTTTGAAAGATCACTCAATTCATCAAATAAATGGGTAGGGGGGGCAAAGATTATGTTTAAGTGAAGAAGCATGCAGAAATGTGGTGCTTTGTGAGAACACTGATCTGGGTCAAGGAGACAGAAAGCACAGGCGAATGTTTTTCAAGTGATGTGATTGTGATGAAGATGTTGCCCTGCACCTGCAACAACCCCATTGCTTTTCATTTTCTAGACCCAGAAATAGAAACCATACTCATACTCATGCTTTTGTTTTTAATTATAAGAGAGATGAGATGGGTTTTCTCTCTTATTTATTGTGAGCAAGACAAACTCATTATGGTTTATCATTATGAGTTTCTTGTTCAAATTCAAAAACAAATTATAGAGAATTAAAAAAAGATTTTTTTTTTTTGTTTTTTTGTTTTTTTTTTTAATAATTGAAGATATTCGGACTAGTTTATATATACTTCAACTAATCCGTTAAGATCTTAGAATTATCGACCGGGTAAGAGCTCTAAGGGCTATCTCTATTAGCAACCGAGTAGAGACTTAAACTCATGATCTTTTGAGTAATTACACCTAAGTCCATATCGAACCATTTAACCACCAAGAGGTAGTTAAAAGTTTTTATTTAACACATCTCAAAAGAGTTTTCAATACAAAGGGTATATGAAATATTATGCTTATTATTATTTTTTTGTAACATGAAAAATGTGATTTATCCTAAGAAAAAAGATGGGTATCAACAAGATTTGTGAGGCTAAATAGAGTGTATAATATAAGGAATTATTATAAAGAAAAAAAAAAGTAATTCATGGATTCTTGGAGAACATAAAATACCCACCTAGTAGATTAATTATTTAGGTCTATATTTATCCTTTCTAATATTTTATTAAAAAACAAAACTCAATTACCATCGAAAATAAAATTGGAATAAACTTTGAATATATGCAATTATTCCCAAGGAAGATAGAGGTTTAAAGAGAGAATATCAGATCTGATTGTGAAAAGAGAAGAATATCAATAATGAAGTAAGAGAGAAATTAAAAAATAAAAATAAATGTACACAAAAGTACAATATTCTAAATACAATTTTGATCCCACATACCAACTCTTGGGTGGCCAAGTGGTTTAAGGTCGATAATAACTATTGTATGTATTATTTAAAAGATTTTGAGTTCGAGTTTTTTCTCGTTTATTAATAAGGGTAATCATTAGAATTATTGTCTAACCGATAGTTTTAAAGTCCCGAAAAATTAGTTGATGTATACGTAAGCTAGTCCAGATACCTGATAAAAAAATAGTTGGTCCCACAAAATATATGGGTATTTATTATTATAATTTATAAAATCTACCCCATTCCAAGGGCACACATGATTTTAGCAGGAGCGTATAAAATGAAGGTAAAACAAACAAGGCAGCGTTTGGGTAAAATGATGAAAAAAAAAGAAGGGGGGAAAATGAATAAGGAATTTTGGAAATTGGACTTAGGGTATTGGGCATGTGAGAAAAGCAGCTTTTTATTGTTCTTGTAAAGAGACCACGCCCGTTTGGCTGCAATCATGCGGTCTACTTTGTTATAATTTCCTTCACTTCTTTCATTCTATTTTGTCTTCCCCTATGTGCCTAGTTCTTCTACATTTTATTTTTATTTTTATTTTTATTATTGCTTTTTTCTTTTACTATATTATCCTTAACATTATTTTCATATTAAACATTAAAAATTCTAAAACTTTAAGCTAAACAAAAAAATAAATAAATAAAAATGAAAGGTTTTAACAAGTAAATATCTAACCATTTAAAGGCCTCTTCGTCTCCAAATTAATATAAACCAATTAGGGATTTAGATTCTTTTATTCCTATTAAGTGCATAATGGTATAGGTTGTGTCAATTACTGAAAAGACTAGCTATCAAACCACCCTTGGGTGGCTCAGTGGTTGGACAAAAACTCTTGAGTATATTACTCAAGAAGTCTTGAGTTCAATCCACATCGGTTATTAATAGGGATGATTACTAAGTTCAATTCTTCAGTTGCTAATAGGGATGATCACTTGAGGATGTACCTGATCATGAATTTCAGGGCCCAAGTTATTAGTTGAGGTACGCGCAAACTAGCCCAAACACTTCTAGGTAATTGAGTGGTTTGATAGGGACTCTTCATATTAAACATTATAAATTTAAGATAAAAATAATAATTAATAAACTACATCCATCAACTGAATTGAGTGTTTTCTACATTGTAAAATCAAATTTGTAAACTATCTCTGAGTGATGGAGTGGTTTGATATGGACTATTGGGTGTATTACTTAAGAGGTTTTAAGTTTGAATATTTCATCGATTGTTAATTGGTAACCACTGTAGCTCTTATCTAGCTGGTAGTTCCAAGGTCTTAAAGGATTAGTTAATGTGTACATAAGATTACCCGGACACCCTCTAGTCATTGAAAAAAAAGGTAGTTCTAAGCTACCAGTAAGTTAGTTGCGGTGCACATCAACTGGCCCGAACACCTTCCTGTCATTAAAAAAAAAAAAAAAACAAATCAATTTTGTGATGTTTGGTTTGTAATAGTTCATCCTCTATTTAGGATATAAAAATAGGTTACAAGATAGCAAAAATAACGAGGGCATGTTAGAGACTACGGGAGGAGATTAAGGGTAGATTAGGTAGAATGATAATTGTAATTATCAGCTCGGGAACCGGGGAGACCCGCTCGTGCGGACAAGCCAATCACGCTCTCTAAATAATTACTATTAAAATCTTAATTACACTAATTAAATATTATGAGCTAAACAACAAAACTTTCTAATTACAATAAAGGACAATAAATCATCAAAATTCATCTGAAGCCCTAAATAAGAAAAAAAAAAAAAAAAAGAAACTTTGCGCGCTCCCTAAAGAGGATTTACTCGCTTCCCAAAACCGCTCTCTACAGTACCTTTCAAGCACAGCCTTTCTCATCCTTCAAGAACAAAGAACCAGCTGTGTGGTATTGTATATAACTATATATATACCTATCTATATTCCCCTCTTCACCTCCATTGTAGGACAGAATTAAAACAAACACACCCTGTCACCAATAGAGAGAAAAAGAACTCGTTGAGTACTAAAAGAGAGTGAGACTGAGAGAGAAATGGCAGCCGATAAGGTTGTAGAGACAGTGATAGTGGGAAATTATGTAGAGATGGAAACTGAAGGGAAGCCACAGGATGTCAAAACAAAGCTCTCTAAGTTCTTCTGGCATGGCGGTTCCGTTTACGACGCCTGGTTTAGCTGTTCTTCTAATCAGGTTAGTTTATATTGCATTTCTTTTATATAAAACAGTAACTATGAGGTCTTATTGAAGTTGAAATTTGTATTAATGTTGATTTTGTGTTGTTGTTCAGGTGGCTCAAGTTTTGCTTACACTTCCATACTCATTTTCCCAGCTGGGGATGCTCTCGGGGATACTGTTTCAGCTCTTCTATGGGTTGATGGGGAGCTGGACGGCTTATCTTATTAGCATACTCTACGTAGAATATAGAACAAGAAAAGAAAGAGAAAAAGTTGATTTCAGAAACCATGTTATTCAGGTTCATACTACAAAGAACTTAACCCTAAAAGACAACATTTCATTCATTCACTCTATAATATTAATTAAAGTTTGATCTTTTGTGTTTTTGAATTAAAAATTTAGTGGTTTGAAGTTCTTGATGGGCTCCTTGGAAAACACTGGAGGAACGTGGGCTTGGCGTTTAACTGCACTTTTCTTCTGTTTGGATCCGTGATTCAACTCATAGCTTGTGCAAGGTATTTCTACTGACCAATCTCTGACTCTTACTTTATTTGTATTCTCATTAAATTACAAGCATCCAAAATAAACAAAGAATCATTTCTCTCTCTGACCCGTTTCTGGCTCTCTGCAACTGGGTTTATCTTTATCTTTAATGTTAATTTATTGCAGCAACATATATTACATAAATGACAATCTCGACAAGAGGACTTGGACTTACATCTTCGGGGCTTGTTGCGCAACCACAGTCTTTATTCCTTCGTTTCACAACTACAGAATTTGGTCTTTTCTCGGCCTCGTGATGACAACTTACACAGCCTGGTATCTCACCATTGCCTCTCTCCTCCATGGCCAGGTAATTTACAGTCTAATAAAGCCTGTTAATAAGTTGTCTGTATAATTTTAATTTTAATATTAATGGTTTAGTTTAATGTGAATATAGGTGGAAGGAGTGAAACATTCGGGCCCAAGCAAATTGGTGTTATATTTTACAGGAGCCACAAACATTCTCTACACATTTGGGGGACATGCCGTCACTGTGTAAGACAAGTTTGGATTAAGAATCGTGTCCTTTATGTTATGTACAAATCTGTGTATTTGACTATTTGTTTATGTTTAAGCTGTTCATTGGGGGAAATTTTTTTTTAAAAAAAATATAATAATGCATGTAGTAGAAAAACCAGAGGCTTAACATCATTACTGAAAGAGACTGAAGCTTCACTTGTTTAGACATGATCTAGCCATGTGATCTATTGAGTTGGACCAATCTCTTTTTTATCAAAATATAAACTATTACTATATGCATTTTCATACCCAAATTGCCCTTCTTGAGCGTGGGAGGCAAAAAGTCTGTTTTTCTTGGGAAACCGACTTAATTTTCCTTTTCAATGTAGAGACTAGAGAAAAGCCAATCATCTTTCTTATTGTTTTTGCTTTTATCATGAAAAAGGGCCAAGATGGGTCCAGCTGTCCAGCTTCACCAATGAATCCAAGGCTATTAATCAAGCTTATTATTAGTTGATTAATTAATTGATTTGTTTAAGATGAAATTAATTGATCTCTGGTGGGGCTGCAGGGAGTTGATGCACGCAATGTGGAAGCCCCAGAAGTTCAAGGCCATCTACTTACTGGCGACTCTGTATGTGTTGACACTGACACTGCCCTCCGCATCAGCTGTTTATTGGGCATTTGGAGACATGCTTCTTACTCACTCCAACGCCTTTGCCCTTCTCCCCAAATCCCCCTTCCGAGACATGGCTGTCATTTTAATGCTCATCCACCAGGCAAGCCAATAAATATATGCCCTTCAAATTAATGAATATGTAATTGTAATTTTATTGATTTGTTTTGTTTTGATTGGTGTTTGATTCATTGTTTTTTGTGCAGTTTATTACATTTGGATTTGCATGCACACCATTGTATTTTGTGTGGGAGAAAGCCATTGGGTTGCATGAGTGCAAGAGTTTATGCAAAAGGGCAGCAGCAAGATTGCCTGTGGTCGTCCCCATTTGGTTCTTGGCTATCATCTTCCCATTCTTTGGCCCCATCAACTCCACCGTTGGATCACTTCTGGTCAGCTTTACCGTCTACATCATCCCTGCCTTAGCCCATATCTTCACCTTCAAATCAGCCGCCGCCCGAGAGGTAAAATTAATATCAGTAATAAAAAGTTTGACACCTGAAATATCATATCAAGAAAATGAATCAACAGCCTTTCTTCGTGTCTAACTTTGACTGAACATTGTTAATTAAGCTTATATTAATTTAATCATGAAATTATTAGGTGGGGTTATCAGTAAGTTGAGTAAGGAACAAGAAACACAGACAATAGCGTGTTGTCACAGTCAAGCAGACCAGCTCCCTGGTCTTTCTCCTAAGTTGATAATCTTTGGGATTTAATATTTATCATCTTTCTGTTACGTTGTTTATGTATATATATAATGAAACTTGGTGTTCTTTTATCTTTGATTTGCTTAATCTATGAAAGATTTAATTAAATATTTGGCCCCATGAGTTGCAAAAAGCACAAGATTCTTGCTGCAACAATGTGGCAGAATTTTATCAGTTTGTACCTGGTTCTCCCTACTGGGAGAGTGCCCTTTTCTAATATTCATAAACTATTCATTAATTAGCAATAAGAGATTGTAACATTGTAATATGAAGCTGATGGATGATTGTGATGTGATGCAGAATGCGGTTGAGCAGCCACCGAGGTTTGTGGGGCGATGGATTGGCACCTACACAATCAATGTGTTTGTGGTGGTGTGGGTGCTGGTGGTTGGTTTTGGGTTCGGAGGCTGGGCTAGTATGATCAATTTTATTCACCAAATTGACACATTTGGGCTCTTTACTAAATGTTACCAATGCCCACCACAAACACTGCTGCCACCGCCACCTCATGCTCTTAATGCCACCGCGCCACCACCTCTCCACCACCCTGCCGTGAATCATACTCATCACAGCCTTTGATTTTGGCATTCAAAACAGAACTAGCTAACACCAAAGTGCCCCCCACAAACTACAACCATTAGTGTTACCTACCTTCACGTACGCTTGGCTGTTTAGATTATAGACAGAGAAGATAAGTTGTTGGAGTTAAATTTAAGCCACCAATATAAAATGTACTTGGCTAGTTATAAACTCAAGTCATTATCCATACCCATACACCTTTAATTCTCTGTCTCCCTTTGTTTAGATTACTGAGTTTGTTATGCCTTTCAAGGATAAGAAAAATATTGTATCCAAAACTGGAAATTTGTACTCTTAGCTATGTATTGCAAATTGCTTATTTCTCTCTTCCTCTCTCTAAGATGATATGATCTTATTCACTCAATCATGTTTCCAATCTTTAAACATGTTATAAGTTTATATTATTTGGTTAACGAGAAGTTCCAGTATATCAACATAAATCTTGAAGGAAAGCATATGAATTATATATACAAACTTATGTGTTATTCATTGCTATAGCAATGTTTGCTGGACAGAAGAAAATGAA